AGAAAAAAATTTTTTCACCTTGAGAAAATTTTTCTCTTGAATTTTCGATACTCATTTTATATTATTTTAGCGTGCAATTATACATATTGAATGAAAAAAAATGATGAAATATTATTTGATCTTTCCATTTGAAATTTTAATCAATAAAAATATTAATGAAAATTTACTTCTATCTTTATATTTAATTTTTTGGAGCAAGAGAAAAATTTTCTCAAGACAAGAAAATTTACTTCTATCAAGAACGAAATTTTTTGGAGCAAGAGGCTGAATTTTCTCAGAAAAACAAGATTTTTTTGATTTAAATAAATTTTCTTGGATCAAGATACATATTTCTTAAAGCAAGAGAACTAATTTTTTTGTAATAAGTAAAGTTTCTTGTGTCAAAAAAAATTTTTTTTTTCGCTCAAAAAAATATTTTCTTGGCTCAAGTGAACTTTTTTTTCTCTGCCATCATAATTTAAAAAAGGCATTACAATAGATGAACTAAATTTATTTATTTATTTAAAATAATATACCCATAATCTAACAAATAAAATTGACAAATTTGATAATTATGTCAAGCAATAAAATAAAATAAATCTATTTATATCTTTACAGCGATAAATTAGTAAAAATAGTTTATATTTACTCACCTTGCCATCAAGTACAGTAAACTTGACGTGAAGGGATCCTTCTCGCTCGACCGGTTCGACGTCCTTCGGCGTCCCGGCGCTGCATGTGGTATTACTATGTGTATTTGCGATGCTGTTACTGCAAAAACATGTACACAACAGTCATTAAAATTTACATAAATATTTATTTTAATTTGTTATTATTATTACTATCATTCGTAGTCGATAGAAGAATTTGATGTTTTCTGATTAAAAATGATATTATTTGACTGATATTTATGTATTTATGATTGTTATCACTTCTATCTATTAATACATAAATTATTAGACGATGCAAATCTTGCCGAGCAGTATTACCTGATTAATAAAAATTTTAAATATTAATATCGATAATAAACCTAAATAGTTATTCGTTGCAATAAATTTTATAAATTTACACAGGTTGCACACGTACACCGTTATAGTCTCGGTAGTTCCATATGAACATTGACAAGACACATCAATATATTTTTTTTTTTATTTATCTTTAAACTGCAAGCCGTGAGTACACGTGACAGTTTATGGTAGTGCGGGTAAGTAAATAACGTGACGGAATTTACAATTTCTAGCTGCGCATTATGTACAAATAAAACGTTAGCACACAAGCATTTTATATTAAACTTGTGTTTATTTTATTATTCTAATTATTATTTATACTTTGTTATATTATGTGTTATGTATACCTTGTAGAAACTATAATCTTGTTGATTTATTTTTAATTGTATAATTATTAATTAATCTATTGATAGTAGAAGTTTAATGTCCTTATTTATTACTCGGATAGTTATCTGATATACTAGCGCTAATAAATTGTAGCTCAGAATTTTTTTTTATTTAAATACAATGAAAAATTTGTTGCAATTTATAAATTATATAATATTTTTTTAATTTGTTTTACAGTATCAATTAATCACTATTTATTATCAACATTTATTTCATGCATTTGTGACTTAACAAATTATACTGATAACATTTTATCTATTATTAGTATTATTTATTGAAAATTTTTAACCATTTAAATTATTACCACAATTTTAATACCATAAATGATTAATTAGTTTTTTTGTTAAGTTAAGGGATAATTATTTATTAAAATTTATTAAGATAAGCGCTTTAAATATAAAATTTTAGAATAATTTAATTTTTTAATATGAATTTTTAATTGAAATTAAAAAAAAATCTAAATTAGTTTTATTTATATTAATTATTAATATAAATCTAAAATTATTGCGACAACGTGGGTGGTTAACATAAATTGATTGTTTAATTACATAATCATAGGTCTGTAATTATTTTTTATTTTAAATTGTTTTATTATTCTATTATGTGATCAATAAAAACATAAACTCAGCGAACTGCGAGCTTGTTAGCAACCGAGGGAAAGTTATATTAGGACCAACCGAAACGGAACGAAACCAACGCGGAACAAAAGTATACAGAGAGTAAATGTACTTTGTAAATAACAATAAATTTTTCGAGAAATAAAAAATGGAAAATTTCTGTCTTTAAATCGGTTAGTGTTATTAGTAGAGTTTTTGAATAAATCAATAATTAAAACATAAAAATAATCGGTAATTATTTACAAGCCATATTAAATTTTTTTTTTTCAATATTTGTTTTTTTATGTATTTTAAAGAAAAAAAAATATATATATAAAAACATCAAAAAAAGATGAAATAGAAATTTTATTCAAAAAAATGAAAGCCAAAATTTTTTCGAACTTTCAAAGGCAAAAAAACTAACGAAATCTTTATTTTTTTATCTTTCACGACATTTTTTTATCATAAATGTGCCGTAAAAACAAGCAGAATTAAAAAAAATTTTTTTTTTAATGTTTTCACTTATTTATAGCCCAAAATGATAACTAACAGCTGTCAATTTTTTTAATTCTTATAATAAATCGCGTGCCTAAAGGTAAAAGGGCGGAAATTTTTTTTTTTTATTGTCAATCGAGTAGTAGACACATTCTACGCTTAAAATTGAAAAAAAAAATTACAAATTTTACAAAAATTACGGAATTTTGAAAATTTTAATTTTTAAAAAAATGACGACTGATTGAAAATTTTCACACTATTCTTACGGTTTTTTTTTTTGCTTTAACCCGGCTAAAAAAAATCTTTAAAATAAAATTTCTTCAAATTCCGCACGTGCGACGATCACTACATCCTTACTGATTAAAAACCAATTTGGATTTTTATTTTCAGATGATCTGTTTTTGAGTTATCGAACCGACCGTGGAGGGGAGAAATTTTCTCCAGTGCTCGATGAGATTGTTAATAACTTTGTAATAATTAAATATTTTTTAGGGTAATAATCTTTAATGTACCCTTAATATGATAAAAAAAAAACCCGATTTCCAAATTCCTTTTATTTTCCCTGTCAAAAAATTCCCGAAAATCACCTCTTTTTTTCGATCGTCACAGTGGTGTTCCCCCTTAAAGCTGAAAGGGCGTAAGGTAAAAGACCCAGTTATTGACACTGGCCTAGTTATTGACACTTAGAACTTGATTTTAATTAAAAAAACAAATCAACTATAATAAATTTATAAATATAATTTTTGAATTATAAATTTTAAGATAATTGATTTTTTGAGAATAATTTATTTTTTTAATTAGAATAAAATTGCAAGTGTTAAACAACTAGATTAGTGTCAATAACTGGGTCTTTTACCTTATGTCTTGAGATACGCCTTTTGAGCTTTAGGATACCAACTTTTTTTTTCTACAGATTTTTACGTTTTAGACAATTTTAAACTGAATGGCAAAAAAAATTTTTTTATACACCCTTTCAGCACAAATCCCTATTAAACCTTAGCTATAAGCCCTTTTATCTTTAGGCACGCGAAATCAATTACAATATTAAAAGTGCTTCTAAAAATTTTGACTGATAATTTTCTTTAATTTTCACATGTTGAATTATTTTATTAAATTTTTTTTATAACAATTTAATTGTTATAAAATTCTAAAAACATTTCTAATGTCTATCAACTTCAGTATTATCCAAAATGAAATTGACCCCACTTGTAAATAATTATCAGATAATCACACTGACAAAAACAAACAAAATTTTAAAAAACCAATCGCTCTTATAGTTTTTTCGTCACTATTTTTCATGAGCAATTGTTTGTACGTAAGATGCATAAACAAAAAGTAGATCAAAAATGCACGTTGGTTGTTTTGATTTATAATTTTTTGCTCGTCTTCATGCGACAAGTCGATGAGTCTCACCGATGGTAATGACGGTGTAGTGATGCAGCTTGAGTAACATCCTCGAAGATTCGCCGAAGTGGCGTAATGTCGCTAGGAAACAGTGGCGGTCTCCATCGCCTGTGTACGCTGGAATCATGCACATTGCCAATACCTGAAAGTTGCGTGATGCACGCAAGGGGACCAATTTTTTTTGTTCTCTCAAATGAATTGAGGAAATGAATTCTACTAGTTTATATTGAGGTATAACACGACAGTTGGCTTATACATTTATAAGTACACTGATTTGCTCCCCTATTTTTATTTTTTAACTCATTTTTAACAAAAGGGAGAAATAATTGTTAATAATAAATTAAAATATTCAATATTTCACTTAAGAGTACGGAAGTGCGGTAAATTTATGCCTGTTAACTTTTTACATAATATGATTTTTAAAATAAAATAAATCAAGCGATAAAATTTTACAAATTTAAATCCTGTTGTCTTGTAAATTTATTTTTATTTCCAAAAATTCTGGACATCAAAATTTATATCTGCGTTGTAATCTATAATATTAAGAAAATAAGCGAAATTTTGTGGCCAGGATAGTAATATGATAAAATCGGTGTTTTTTTTAGTGTAATTTAGTGTCGTTGCAAAGGTCTTGATTTGAATTTGTGCCTTTTCAAGGTTTCATATTATTCTCACCGATACTCAATTTATTATGATAAGTATTTAGGCTACATTCGAAAATGCACTATATCTAGATACATAATTAAGAAATGACCTTGTATCTTGTGAACTATTGACATTTTCAAAAATATAAGCTCATCTCGATGTTACACTCATCAAAAGCTTTCATTAGAGTACCCACATGCATTTTAATATATATCTTCCCCCCCCCCTATATTTGACAGCTACGATATCTCAAGACTACCTTTTATTCCTATTATTATCCTTGATACCACACCAATATAAACTCACTCAAGTAAATAAATTACATCAAGATAGTACTGAAGAAAAATTATTTTTTTTTTGGGTCAAATTTTTTTAATATAATATTTTATGAATTTTTTTAGAAATAAAAAATTTTATTTTTAATTTTGAACATTTAATTCAATTGCACATTAGTGTTGTAACTAGCAAGAATAATTACTATACACTGGTGTGAAATTTGGTAAATTGGGCGCCAGCCGAGTAAGCCAATTCACACGCGTATATGGTAATTATTAGTACCAGCTAACTACAAAACAGTTTTTGTAATAAATGTTTAAATAAACACCGCGTAATGTCTCGGTAAATAGCTCCCTAAATTCCGCGGGATTCCCACTATTATTACTTTTATTAATAATCTGTGGAAAAATTTTGCCTTCATAGTCACATGATTAGTTGATAAATGGCATTGTATCTTGTGAACTATTGACATTTTTTAAGATATAAACTCACCCTGACATTACACTCATCGAGACCTTTCATTTGAATACCCACATCAATTTTTCATATATTTATATATATGTATATATGAAAAATATATCAAAAATGCATGTGGGTACTCAAATGAAAGCTCTTGATGAGTCTAACATCGGAATGAGCTTATATCTTTAAAAACGTCAATATTTAAGAAAGAACAGTGCAATTTAACAAAAGTCACTATTTAATAATGCAAAATTTTCTTATTAATAGTTCACAAGTCACGGCAGTCACATAGTGACTGCAAGGTTGCTAATTTTTAATAAATAGTAAAATTAATTACCTTCGTATTGCTTGAACTACCGATTCAGTATCACTCAATTCTAGATCACTGTCCACATGCATCCGTTCGCCCCACGTAGCTTTGAGATAAGAAACGCGTCTCGTAGCGCGTTCTTCATCACCTATTAAATAAATCCATTAGATTAGAATAATTATTATTACTGACATTATAATATAAATATAAACCAGAGCCTTGAGCTCGGAAATAATTATAAAGATATCAAAGATAGCAAAAGTTTAATATAATATTGCAGTAGACTTACTCAGTTGACTATTTTTCTGTCGCCTCAGAACTACTTCGCTGGCTGGTAAGTCGGACCCCGGGGCTGAAAAAATAAGACAAAGTGAGCATCAACAAGCTAAGTATTATTTAAAGCGTTAAAATGTTTAGTTATGAATTTTAATAAGTAATAAAAAAAAAATAAAAAAAAAATAAAAAACGTCAATAAAATTATAGATAAATAAGTAGTCATGTTAACTGTCTATATCTACCAGCACCTTTTTATTATTACACTAAATAAGCTATGTCTAACGTTTAACGCTTAATACTATGAATTATTGATGCAAAATCAATGGATCAAGCCAAAGCCTCTGGCAAACTATCATTAACTACATGATACTGCGGCTACTTTATTTATGCATATTTATTGCAGCTAATCTTGTTAAATATGTCGAGTCGCATTTGATCAATGATTCTGGACAATCGATACTGATACTCGTTAAATTAATTTCACAGCAAATTATGTTAATTCGTTAGTCCAACACTCGGTTGCATTTTTATTTTATTTTATCTTATTTTTTTTTTTTTTTTTTTTGTGTTAAAATCCTGACCTAGGCTCGAGCCAGTAGACTCGGGATCGTCGACATTCTGCTGATCTGATGGTAAATGCTGATGATTGAATGAGCTCTCTCGAGTATCTAAAGGCCGCAGAGGGTTCGGGATAGGAAGTTGATTTGGGCGAACAGGCGGGGGAGGACTAATGGTTACGGTCGGCATCGTGCTTGCAGTTGTACTTCTCGCAATGGCCTCTGATAATGCTGCCGGAAATACCGAATTCAATTCCATGGGTTTTGGCTCCTCGTTTGCTGTTTCGTGCTGCTGTCCGACGTGAGATTCTCGGTCTATTTTGCCCGAATTTAAGTACATGTCAGTCTACATCATTTTTTTTTTTTAACTTTATTTTGATTGGTATTTAATGGACTAGGGTACTCTTTTTTTTTCTAATTAAATCTAAGCGTAAAACAAGCTTGTCAAACTAAATGGAGATTTTTTAGGAATATCAGTATTTTTTTTTTAATCAATATTATTAAGAGAATAAGAAAATTTTGTTTCCAGGATAGTCATATGATAAAATCGGTTTTTTTGGTGAAATTTAGTGTCATTGCAAAGATCTTGACTTTAATTTGTGCCTTTTTAAGGTTTTATATCACTCTCACTGATAGTCAATTTAATATAATAAGTAATTGGCTGCATTCAAAAATGCTTTATCTTAAGATACATAATTAAGTAATGACCTTATATCTTGTGAACTATTGACATTTTTAAAGATATAAGCTCATCGCGACATTAAACTCATCAATACCTTTCATTTGAGTACCCACATCAATTTTTCATATATTTATATATGTATATATGAAAAATATATCAAAAATGCATGTGGGTACTCAAATGAAAGCTCTTGATGAGTGCAACATCGGGATGAGCTTATATCTTAAAAAATGTTAATAATTAAGAACTGACTTTGCTCTCTTGTCAATTAATGATATTTTTGAAGATATAAGCTCATCCCGATGTTACACTCATCGAGACCTTTCATTTGAGTACCCACATCAATTTTTCATATATTTATGTGTATTATATATATGTATATATGAAAAATATATTAAAATGCATGTGGGTACTCAAATGAAAGCTCTTGATGAGTGTAACATCGGGATGAGCTTATATCTTTAAAAACGTCAATGACTAAGGAAGTACAGGGCATTTTAGCAAATATCTTGTGAACTATTGACATTTTTAAAGATATAAGCTCACCCTGATATTACACTCATCGAGACCTTTCATTTGAGTACCTATATCAATTTTTCATATATTTATATATATTATATATATGTATATGTGAAAAATATATCAAAATGCATGTGGGTACTCAAATGAAAGCTCTTGATGAGTATAACATCAGGATGAGCTTGTATCTTTAAAAACGTCAATATTTAAGAACGTACAGTGCAATTTAACAAGTCATTATTTAATAAAGCAAAATTTTATTTATTTATAGTTCACAAGTAACGGCAGTCACGTAGTAACTGCAAGGTTGCTAGTATTTTTTTTTAATATTTTAATTTGAAGAATTATAAATTTCCAGCTGATATATTAAACAGCAGTACTAAAAATAAAATACTGATATTGATTTAAAAAAAAAAAATCCAAGATGCAAACTACTCTACAATTGACTCATATCTTTTTGTCGCTAATAAAATAAACTGAGTAATATTAATCTGATATAATTTCTAGCAGTCTCATTCTGATATCAACCACTCATGAGCAGTTGGATCAATTTCTCAGACTCTATGCAAAACTGGTCCACGAGGAGAGAAGAAATCGGATAAGAAAATTCTTAGCGACTAACCGAGGTGGTTTCTAACAGCCTGAAGATAGCTGTCTTGTCTCTTAGCCTTGCTGTTTCGTGTTTCGCCCTCCGGATCGTCGGGTTCTGTCTGCCAGGTATGTCTGACGCCTCGTCGGGTCGTTCCTCCGTTCACAGCTTCCCAAGATTCAGCGCTATTACTTCGTGCTCGCAACCGAACCGGTTCCATATCCATCGCCGGTGTTTCTACGATATAAACGACTAAATTTATATTAACATTGTTAATAAAAAATAGTAAATCAAACAAAACAAAACCAAATAACAAAACAAAACAGATATAAACAGTTTAATTATTTCGGATTATATCTTCAGGCTTCATACCAAGCTTTTACTTCTTTTCGCTCTATTTTTTTTTCATTATTAATTATTAATTATCAATCATAATTATAATTAAATATATTATTTATCTTTGATTTTTGTTCTGATTCTTGGGCATACATAAAAGTGCACTGTCTCGACATAATCATTCAACATCATCAAACTCAAGTATCACAAGTACAAGTATGAACGTTTTCTCAGTTCACTTATCATTTATAATTAGTTGTTACATTTATAAATGTCATACAAATACCATTTGACGTAATACATGTATGACTCACTTAATTATTACTCGCGTAAAATAAAATTAATAACAAAAAATAATGAATATTATTAAGAATTAATATTAATGATGGTAATGATAATTATTATTAATAATTAAATAATTCAGCCACATTGAGCATAACAGCTTTTATACGTCCATCATCAAATTCTACCTTTATCCTCTTTGTAACCCGAAGGTGGTACGCAGTGGATGTATTTGCTGCCTATAGGAATTATTCGATTCCCCGACAACCCCTTGCCTATGGTAATTGGTAATTAAAACAATAAATTCAATGCTAAATAATTAATTATCTAAAAATACTTATGTAAATCTAAATAATTATTTAATTAATTAAAACAAGCAATTTTGTACTAAAAACTACAGGTGCATTTTTTTATAAACCATAATATTGCATAAATAATTTTATGGAAATCCAGACAGAAAAAAAAATTAACTTGAATCGTGTAAATAATTTTGAAGAACTTCATTTTCGTGATTTGAGTAAAAAAATTCTTAAACTAAGAAATTTTTCGGTAAATATTTACAAGTACACGTAAAGAACAAGACACTGGATATCATCCCAGATTATATTGAGTGAAAAAAATTTCAGATAGTAGCTAGTATAATCCAGATTACAATGAATATAACGATGGTCTAATTAGCAATTGGTCTAACTCCTTATTTTTTAGATGGTGATTTTTTAACATTTTGATGTAGCAATAGTCCAATTATAAATTATTTTAATAATCCTAATTAAAATATTATACCTCTATTAGATATTAATGATATTAAATGGTTTTTTAAAGTGATAATAAATTTTAAACTAATTGTTTTTTCATACAAATGGAAGATTCTCTAAAATAGAGTTAAACAATTTGCTAATTAGAACGTCGATAATCCAGATTACAATGAGTATAATCCAGGTATCACGCAGTAGAATCGGGATTTTTCTAGCTACTATCTGACATTTTTTTCACCACAGATATCACTGAGTATAATCTGGGATGATATCCAGTGTCATCTTGTTCTTTCCGTGTAGGGTCAATCATTTTATTTTTTATTTTTTTCAATGAAATTTCTATTTGATTTTATTGATATATTTTTTTTTGAAAATCACGTCAAAAAATGAACAATTAAATAAAAAAGTTTATTATCACAATTTTAACAAATTTTCAAAAAAAATTTATAAATTTTTTAGAAAATTGTGATATTCAACTTTTTTTTTAAATTGTTCATTTTTTATCTACTTTTCAAAAAAAAAAAAAATATATCAAAAAAAGATAAAATAGAAATTTTATGCAAAAACATAAGAGCCAAAATTTTTCCCAACTTTTGAATGCAAAAAAACTATCGAAATTTTTATTTTTTCTTTCACGACATAATTTCTCATAAATCCGCCATAAAAACGTAGAATAAAAAAAAGTTTGAAAATGTTAATTTTTCACCTAATTATGTCCCAAAATAGAATTTACCCCACTTGTAACTAATTACCAATTATATTCTTGGGTCAAGAATTTTTCACTTTATTCAAATCAATAATTTTTTTTATGCATACAATTAAAAAAAATTTCCCCTAAAACAATAATTAAAAGCAAAAAAAACCTTCAAAATAAACTCACCGGAATCTAACGATTTACTCTCCCGATTAGCGGCAATTCTTCTTCCATCATGAAACTCAGCTTTAGACTCAAACTCCCGTTTCCTAACCGCAACATTAGGAACACTTCTTTTATTCGACAACCTTGAAAGCTCGCTTTTGTACAAATTAGTCCTATCACTAGTGGGCTCATCATCATCACTAAGCAGCCTTCCAGACTCAAACTGTTTAGCCCGTCTTGAAACAATCTGGAGCCCCTGCGGCGGTACGGGGAACTTTTCCTTCTTATCAGGTCCAGGCGAAGCCGGTAGCGACGAAGTTCCATTCCTAAGTTCACTCTCTTGCTGCTCCAACTGTTGCTGCTCCATCTGTTGCTGCTGCTGCTGCTGCTGCGTAACATTTTCATGTATCCTCGACAAAGTAGTAATAAAAGTATTTTTATTATTGCTGGTATTTCTCGGCGAGGAATTCGGAGTGTTGCGATTCGGTGAGTCACTAGTTTTTCCAGGAGAATAATTATTAAAATTATTCTCCTTGCCGTACTGATTGGTGTCATAAAGAGATGAATAAAATCGATCACGTATCGCTTGAGCTCCTTCGCGTTCTCCATTTTTGTCATTATTAACCACGTCATTGCTTTCAACCATGTCACTTCTGACTCTTTGTAAATTCTGATTACTCGGTTTATTATTTTTAGCTTTCTCTAAAGAGTTATTCCTCTGTTGCTGCTGCTGTTGATTTTGTAGACTCTGTTCATTTGGCGGCCAAACTTGCCGCTGAAGTTTTTGCGGTCGGGCATAAAACTCCCTTTGAATGACTCCCTGACCCTGCGCATTGATCCTCGCGGTTTCATCAGGCAGGAGCCAGCCAATAGGATGACTGGGACGTCGTAAAAATTCTTCCTTCTGTTCAAAACTCTTTCTCAGTCTCGTCATAATAGAATCATCTGAGCATTCGTTCCCAGTGAGCGTAGAAGTAGAATCATAAGACGAAGAAATACTGCTATCTTTACTTAGCGGTGAGGAATCTTGTCTCTCCCTGGATTCTACACTCAATCTAGACCCCGGGTCTCCAGAATTGAATCCTTCATTGTTGCTGTAAGCCTGTCCTCCACCATTATTTCCGCCCTCACCTTCTGGATCATTAATCGGGCCGCTGCCTTCGCTGGCGCGTCGGGTAACGACGCGTCTTCCTGGCCGGTAAATTGGTACTTGGGGCTCAGCGCGAGACATGGGATACTGATGGTCCAGCGACTTGCTGAAGGTATTTAAATCGGGTCTAACTCGCTCGTAAATAGGATCCTTGATCTTGTCGTAGATTTGCTCGCTGCTGGGCCGCGAGTAAATCGACTCTGATCGGGTACGGTCGTATAAATGGAATTTTGCGTCCGGAGATCGATAAACTTGGACCATAGGATTAATATCGATATCTTGCTGCTGCGGTAACGATCTCCGCTGGCTCCTGTCGTCTGTACGGCTGTACATACTTTCGTGATTCCGCGCTTCAATCAGCGGCCGTCGCTGAATATTAGGCACCGAGGTCGTCATTTTGTTCGCCGCTTGGTCCTTCAGAGCCTCCTCTCTCAGGCGGTAGGAAGAACCCGCGGTGCCTTGGTTCTCTGAGCCGGGAAGCGTTTGGCAAACCCAAGACTGTCGAGCTCTGGACGACGGCCCGGGGATCATGCTCATTGACCTACGCTGCTTCTGCAATATCTTGTCGGGAGATCGCAGGCGAGCTGGTCGTTGATTTGTCTCGGGATTGTGCGCAGTATCACCGAAAAACTGAAATTTTTTTTATTATTTAATTTAATGTCAAATGTAAATTTAGGTTTTTTTTTTTTTTTTTTTGATGTTTTATTAGAAATTTACCTTTTGCAAAAAGTCGTCGTCCTTAGAAACTACAAGAAGTCGCAGCCAAGGTTCGGCTTGCTGGATTCTCTGAACGACACTCGCGTACTGCTCACCGCGAGTTGGAACGCCGTCTACTGACACGACGCGGTCTCCAGTACGAAGACCTGCTTCAGCTGCTGGTGAATTTGCTCGGACTTGTTTTACGAAAATTGTGTCCATTGGCTCCTCGATTTTCGTCCGCTCGTGTCCTGGCAGCATCTATTTTAATCATTTATATTAATTCATTATTTTTATCTAAATATTGTTTTTTTAGGCACAATACTGTACTTTCTTAACTATTGACGTTTTTAAAGATATAAGCTCATCCTGAAGTTACACTCATCAAGAGCTTTCATTTGAGTACCCACATGCATTTTTGATATATTTTTCATATATACATATATATAATTTATATAAATATATGAAAAATTGATGTGGGTACTCAAATGAAAGGTCTCAATGAGTTTTTGGATTAAATTAATTGTATCGCATCAGTTGGAACAAAAAGTTTATGCTGAAGTATATAGCGTAGCCAAAAATTTTTGCTTTGAACAAAAGTTAAAAAAAAACCCCCGATAAGACCATTTTTTGAGAAATCTATAGATCGTTGCAGTAACAAAAGCATTTTTTTCTTTAAATTCGTAACTTTTTTTGTAGTTAGGTACAAAAATTTCTAAATTTTTTGGGGACCTTCTTTGGTTTGATACATGGAAAGAACAAGATTACACTGGACATCTTTCAAAATTATACTCAGTGACATTTGTAGTGAAAGAAAATGTCAGATAGTAGCTAGTATAATCCAAATTATACTGAGTGATATTGGGATTTTGCTCATTGTAATCTCCCATTTCCTGCAGTAAAATCTCAGATTATACCGCGTAAGATTCCCCTAGATATAATTCGAGATTGTATCCTTAAGAATTTGGATTATGCTCAGTAGAACCTTGGATTATACCCAGTGATATCTCCGCGATTTTTTTTCTAGCGCCTGCGCACTTAGCATTATCATGATTATAAACAGGTTAGATCTTATGATAATATTACTTGTAGGCGCGCAGTAGCCTATCGGATCCGGCCCTTGCTTACCAAAGCATTGGACCGGGTTCGAGTCCGGCGTACACCAATGAATATTTTCAATATTTAAGTGTATTATTCTGCTCAGCCCAAGAAATAAAACGAGTTCCAATCTAAAAGTTTACCCCCCTACCGTAGTCGCTCATGACCTTAGTAGTTTATGCGACTTTAAACAAATTAAGAAAAAAAAAAAATTTGCTCTAAATTCAACAATATTTTATTTTATAAATATTAAAAAAGTTTTTCAAAATTTATTCCAACTTTTAAAAATAAATATGAATATATATTTCTTCTTTATAAAAATTCTAAGCAGGTTCCAGTAAAAATTTTAAAACATAAAATGTCAAGCATTATTGTTGTGACTTGGGACTTAGTATTTACCAAATTTATCTCTTGATAAAAAAATTATTCACAAAAAAAAAAATAAATACTTTTTTACTAAAAGATTAAAAATACAAGAATACTTTTAATCCCTATATAAATTATTCGGTATAAATTTAGTCGCCTAAATCTCAACTTATTTATTAAATTTCCTCAACTAAAAAAAAAAAAAAACAATTGTAAATAAAAATTCACTGAATTATTCTCTAGTGTCCAAACTTTTGATTAACGGACTGCATTAGAACTTCCATAATTGAATGAATTAATCAACTCATAAGTAAATTAGGCAATTAAATTATCACAGAATAGCAAACAATAAATCTAATTACCGGTACAGACACTCTGATTTAATAGTATCAAAATAATGGATCACTTACACAGCAGGACTCGGGCGGATAGACGATAAAGTGGCGAAGGGTAAATCCAAATCCATTTTCGCTGCGGCGTAGTAAAAGAGTCCGTGGTCCTCTCGGCGGTGAAATATCTTGCTGCTGCTGCTGTTGTTGTTGTTGGTGCCCAGAAAAAGGCGCAGGTGGCGGGGGCGATGCGTGACCGATCTAAAACACAAATAAGCCAAAATTAAAACCGAATTATTCACTTCCTTCAATGAAATTAACTATTGGGTCAAATATTTTATTGAATTCAGGGACGGAAGTGCGTTTGACGGACATTTGATGGAGAAATTGATGTTTTGGACAGATAACACCTAAGCTGTTTGATACGCAGCATCCTGCTTTATTTTACTGTCCGTACAAGTGTTGAATAATTTATGTAATAAGTGTAATAATAAAACACATGTAACACGAGCGTGTGTATGCACACGTGTCGAGTACGTGTTACCGAGCTATACAAGAATGACCTTAATTATCTGCTTCATTGCCGAGGTTAACCCTCCATTTGTTATCCGAGATAAAATTTTAATTAATCATTCTATCCGACATTTTTAAAGGGTTAATTGGGCAATCAAAAACTGTTTATTGATTTAGTTATTAATAATTATTAATATTGTAATTTATAATTGATATTTATTTATAACAATGGGGGTATTATAAATAATACATTGTTGCAAAGTGTGTATCTACATTTTAATTAAAAGAGATTAGATAGTGATGAAAATAAATGTTATTATAACAGTCTGTCGTAAGAAGTTAAAAAAATTTTATTTATTGTGATAAATATTTACAAGTGGGGTCCACTGTTTTAATTTTCATTTTTTTGAACGAAATTTCTATTTGATTTTATTGATGTATTTTTTTTTAAAGTACATAAAAAAATGAACAATTTAAAAAAAAAAGTTGATTATCACAATTTTAACAAATTGTCAAAAAAATTTATAAATTTTTTGGAAAATTGTAGTATTCAATTTTTTTTTAATTGTTCGTTTTTTTAGGTACTTAAAAAAAAAATATATCAAAAAAAAATAAAATAGAAATTTTATCCAAAAATATAAGAGCTAAAATTTTTTCCAAATTTTGAAGGCAAAAAAGCTATCGAAAAAAATTAATTTGAATTAAGTAAATAATTTTGAAGAATTTCTTCTTTTTGATTTGAGCAGAAAAATTCGGTAATTACTTACAAGTGGGGCCAAACCATCAATATTTTTCTTTTTTAATTGTTCATTTTTTTATATACTTTCCAAAAAAAGATAAAATAGAAATTTTATCTAAAAACATAAAAGCTAATTTTTTTTCCAACTTTTGAAGGCAAAAAAAGCTATCGGAATTTTTATTTCTTTCTTTCACGACATTTTTTATCATAAATGCGCCGTGAAAACACGCAGAATAAAAAAAAATTAAAAAATGTTAATTTTTCACTCAGATATGGCCAAAAATAGTGTGGACCCCCCACTTGTAAATAATTACCAGGGTGGCGATTGACCTGGAAAACCTGGAAAACGTGGAAATGTCAGGGAATTTGAAATTACTGGAATAGTCAGTGAAAAGTCAGGGAGTTTTAACTTGGGTCAGCGAAATTTCTAGTTTATTTTAAAAAATAAACTAGAATGCTCTAGAAATAATAAATTATTTCTATAGCATTCTAAAAATCGTACTGCAGATAATTTTTAATATTAATTGATGTTTCTTAATTTATATTTCTTCTTTTTTGTGAACTATAATATTCAAAAATTTAAATGCATGGATAATTAATAATAAAAAAGAAGTATAACTTCTCAATGATTAATGATAGTAATAATATCAATTATTATATTTTCAAAAGTTGAATTATTTAATTTAATTTTCAAAAGAAACTCATCTTTTTTGAATAGTTGAAAATCTGCAAAAAAGTATAATATAATTTATAGTTCCAAATTTTTACTCAATTCTGGATATTAGATATGAATATTCTTGCATACAAAAATTATTTTTAAAATAATTTGCAATTATAACGAATATTTGAATAACAATTATTTTTTAGTAGGTTCTGGAATTTTATTTTTGGTCAGGGAAAAGTCAGGGAATTTTGAAATTAGTGTTCAGTCGCCCTGATTACCATAAATTCTGCTAAAAATTAATTTGTTGTGAAAAAAGTACGTTCAAAAATTTATTATTTATGCAAAACGATAGCACACCTGCGAACCCTGTAAAATAAAGCATCCGGTTACTTAACTATTTCTTCCGGATGCAATCAGAAAAACAACTCTGTACAAGGTACACGGTAAAAGATACTGTACATATATACGAAGAGAAGGAATAAAAAATAAATAAATGAAAGCAATAAAAAAAGTAAACTATTCAAGGTGCGAATGATGAAGAAAAAAAGATGAAAAAGACATACATGCACGGGAAAAAAGTAAATAAAAATATTGAATCATTAATTCATCGTGAGCACCTTGAACTGTTCTTACTCTCAAGTCCTTTATTCAAGAGATTTCCCCTTTGTAGGATCAGCTCCCTCTCGCTCTTTCTCTTATATCTGACATCACATATAAATCCGTTCCCTGTGGGTTACGAGTACACCGACACTCGCAAGGATACTTATAAATATAAATATAAATATAAACTTAAACTACATATAATATGTACTACATACGTATATTGTACATTTTGAGCATTCGTAGTAACCGCGGAGTAGAGTGGAACAGTAGAAGCCGTACCGGTTATATAGTTAGACCGAAGTGTATTGGAGAGAACTTTAAATTTTTAACCTGAAGATATTGTAAATCCTTTCTTTATTCCTTGCTCCAGGATATACATAATTTTATTTGATTTTTATTTAAACATCAACTTCTTGTTCTTCATCATCATCATCATCGTCATTTCATTCTTATTTTTTTCCGTACTTATTTAAATTATTTAAATTGTTACTATTACAGAATATACATCACTGTCTCATGCATATATATTTTACTTAAGTCAGACCCGCCTCTGCTTCTGTTCTTGACATTGATGAAAAAATTAATTTACTTTATTTATTCAAACTAATTTGGCTGTATATAATTATTCCATCGTTTTATTTTTGTCCGATAAAAATTTATTTATTCTGTGGGCCTTGTACTAATGTCTTAAAAAAAAAAAAAAAAAAAATATTTATTCGAAGAAGAGCTGATTAATAAAATGAAAAGTTTAATAAACTAAACATTGAAGAAATAAATTGACGTTAATTAAAATGTCAGCCGATATGACTGGTGAATAATGTTGGTTAGTTAGTAGTTGGATCGATTGTTTATTATCAGTTGCTGTTTTGTGAATTCTATCTACCAGACGATCCTTTACCGATTACAATGGCTCTTGCACTTGAACGGTAACAATGACAATGACAGTGACAGTGACAGTGAGGATAAAAAATGAGCATAACAGTATTAGTTTGCTTCTACTTGGTAAAGTAATGTCTCGAGTCTAAAATGAAAGAGATATAAATGTGTCTAGAATAATATATACTTATTAGTCAATGATGATTCTTCATGCGAATCACGCATTTATTTAATCGAAAAGGATTGACGTCATTAAATGTTTTTCTACCCAATGAAAACTCGTTTATCTCGTATATCAGTATCAAGCATTTATACAAATAACTATTTTAATTAATTGTCATTCATTCATTCACTCACCCGTTCATTCATTTGTTAGTTTCCTATAATTTGATATAAATAAAATTTTCTTGCGTTTATATAACCACTGAATATATATTTAATTGAATGCCGTCGATTTAATTAATTCAAAAGATTATTTCTCCATTATTGATAATTAATTTGTTTATTTTTATCCCCTTATGGATATTTATAGTATACCTTCGATAATACCTATACTGGCAACCTTGCAGTAACTATGTGGCTGGCGTTATTTGTGAACTAAAAAATATTAAAAATTTGGGTTATTGAATAGTGAATTTTGTTAAATTGCACTGTAATTTCTTAAATATTGACATTTTTTAAGATATAAGCTCATCCCGATGATACACTCATCGAGAGCTTTCATTTGAGTACCCACAGGGATTTTTGATATATTTTTCATAAATACATATATATATATAATATATATAAATATAAAAAAAATTGATGTGGGTACTCAAATAAAAGGTCTTGATGAGTTTAATGTCACGATGAGCTTATATCTTTAAAAATGTCAATAGTTCACAAAATACAAGGTCATTTCTTAATTATGTTAAATTGCACTGTACTTTTTTAAATATTGACATTTTAAAAAATATAAGCTCATCCCGGTGTTGCACTCATCAAGAGCTTTCATTTGAGTACCCACATGCATTTTAATATATATTTCTCATATATACATATATATAAATATATAAAATATATGAAAAATTGATGTGGGTACTCAAATGAAAGGTCTCGATAAGTGTAACATCGGGATGAGCTTATATCATTAAAAATGTCAACATTTCACTAGATAAAAGGTAATTTCTTAATTATGTATCTAGAGATAAAGCATTTTCAAATGCAACCTAAATACTCATCGTAATAAATTGACTATCGGTGAGAATGAGATGAAACTTTGAAAAGGCACAAATTCAAATCAAGACCTTTGCAATGACACTAAATTTAACATAAAAAAACCGATTTTATCATATGACTATCCTGGACACAAAATTTTTCTTATTCTCTTAATAATAAAGATAATAAGATATAAATAAAATTTTGTGCGCTTGACCATTAAATATATATTTAATTGTATACCGTCGATTTAATTAATTCAAAACATTATTTCCCCATTATTGATAATAAATTTGTTTATTTTTATCCACTTATCGATATTTATAGTATATCTTCGATAATACCTATATAATTAATAGTTTATTTATTTCAATTTAATTGATTAATCTTTCAAATTCCAGCTGATACATAAATTACCCTTTAAATATCTAGAATTATTATTTTCATTTCGTAATAATTTATTTTTAAGCGGAAAAAATTTATGAAAAAATTCAAACGTCTAAAAATGACTTAACATTTAAAAATAACAACCAAGGCGACTCTTAATGAGCGTTTAATGGAATTTAAAGGCAAAGCGTATCGAGTTTTAAACCAAACAGATAGTCAATGGGACAAGATTTATAAAATAAAAAAAAAACTAGAGCATGGAGTAATCAGTGTGTATGTTCGAATGTTATTTTTGGCATGACAAGAGACAAGAAAAACACAAAGGATATAATAAAATAAGGTACCTTGACTTTAGGAGTGACGTACAAGTCTCTGTTACCCGTACCCGATTTCAAC